ACTCACGATAGATTCCAATAACGATTATTCGTTTTTTAAAGAGATTTCATTTCTTTTTGAAAGTCGAGATTCATGCTTCTTTATCGCATTTCGTATTCAAGTGAAACTCGAATACCGACTAGTTAAGTGTAGCAAAGTACAGTGAAAACTTTTTGTAAAAAACAAACTTGGCCTTTAATACAAATGCGCGAAGTTCAAGAAGAGTATCTTTTGAAATTTGAGCCCATATGACCAATTTTTCATCAAAAACGACACTTCGAACAGGTGACTAGTTTTTTTTATTAAGCTTTTTAATAATTTTTTAATAAATTAATATTTTCTGTCCTGAAGAGGTCGATTGCTACTTTAAAAAAGTCGATTTTAATATGTCACAGTTTGCCTATTGCTCCAAGTCATCTAACTAATGAATATTTTTGTGATGCAATCTTTAGTAAATAAAAAAATTCAAAAATTCAGCGAGAACAACCGATGTGATTGTCACCGGTGTCTTGAGCCCGTTTTCAACTGAAATCTAACATTTTTCTAAGAGTTTAAAAATATTCATGCAGTCAGATGTTCATGAAAGAATTATCTCAGCTGTTTTACAACATTTTCATACATTGTCAAGATCTTATTTCGAAATGAGACGAGCAGTATAAGGATTAGAATTTGAATAACTTTCATATTGAGTATTTTTAAAGGTCGACATCATATCGTTAAATAATCATCAACAAAATCTGTCAATGATTACATGAAATAGTTCAAGAAGATTACTTGCAATTTAGCCTAAGCAAAAAACGAAGTAAAAGTGAATTGTTTTTTCTATCAACTGTGAAATATTTATCAGTAATTAACAAAATTATCAAGATCAATTCATTATAGATTGTCAATGATTATTTAATAATGATGTTTTTAAACAACTTTCTTAATTTGATGTAAAAAAACGGTCTGAACGATTATCGTTTATCACTGCATTTCTCCATTTTCAAATCGTTTATAATCGTTTCCGAGAGTTATATACAACGTAGACGTACAGGATCATGATTAATTATTCATCTAGTCAGTTGGAATACGCTTTGGTTTTTTCTTTCAAAAATGAAGCTTTGATCGTTCTGAAATTCATCAATAACGTTTAGTCAATTGATTCATTTTCAAATGATATGTAGGATGATATTGTTATGATAATCTTCAATTGTCCATGGAAAATCGATCTAAGAATACATATTTCCATCTTTATTCAATGACAGATCATGATAAGTAGTTATATCTGTTCCGATCAAACCTTCAAACGTGATTTCTACACAGTACAAAATAGATACATAACGAGTCATCGACAAATATCCAAGTTTATATTAATACATCAATATGTACATATTCATCTCGTGCACTCATTGCTCGTTTTTTTTTGTCAAAGGGTTATAATTGAAACAGCTATATATGTATACATATATATATGTAATATCCACATGTACACCTATATGTTTATACATCATTGCATGTGAATCACCTTGAATTTTATGACGTTTTTCTTTATATATGAGTAGCCTTCTACTTTAAAAAAAAATGGTTCATTGGCAATGGTTTTTATATAGTTTAATACCATTTTCTATCATATTAATTCTTATTTTATTATTTATATTTATAAAACGACATCGTGGTCATGGATATTTTTTATCGAAATTTTCTGCTTTTACACGTATACGTTTTAATCATCTTGAACAACGACGACAAACATATTGTCCAGCTAATAAAAATTGTCAATGTCATACAAAACATTCATCTTCACATATTGAACCAAATCTATCATGTACACATCGTTCACCAACATTATATATGAGTTTTGCTGGTGCTGCTATGATTGTTGGAGGTGTAAGAACAACAGAATGGCGTGGTTCAATAAGTCAATTACATGATAAAACAAATAATCAATTTGATGTTCTATTTTTAACTGATCCAGCACAATGTTTTTATTTACAAGATCCAAATTATCAATGGCAAGGTTTAAAATATTATCGAAATTTAGTACAAATTTATTCAACATTATATCAACATATTATTTTAATTGGTGCTAGTCTTGGTGGTAGTATGGTTTGTATGTGTGCTGATTTAGCTACAATATCAATTGCATTTAATCCAATATTAGATCCAACATTACTTGGTTTACCATGGCGTATAATGGGTGCATATTGTCCAAAAAGACAAGCACATATTGTACGTGAACAAATACGAATTAATATGGAAAAAATCGAAAGAAAAACATTAAATCATGATTGTGTACTTCATATACATTGGAGTCAATTATCAACAGCTGATCAACGACAAGCTCATCGAATAATTGGTGATGGAAAAGCAAAAAACAAACCTAAACAAATACATTGTTTAACATCAGTTTTAGATTTTAATATTAATAATCAATATATGAATAGTTTAATTGGTGTTTATATTTGGTTTCATCGATGTGCACGACATGCATTAGCTATGCATTTAAAACGAACTGGTCAATTAATACCATTATTACGACGTCATTTATATTTAATATTACGAAATTCTATTGATAATACTAGTCAAGAAAATGAACAACAATCAAATACTAATAATCTTTCATTATCACTTAATATTCAAGAAACAGATGAACATAGTGTTTGTCTAACATTAATATAAAATTTTGTTAATTTTATTAATCAAGAGTACGATTTATTTAAATAAAATAAAATAACATTGATGTACTTTTGTGCATATAGATAAAATCTTTTTGTTTACTAGAATAATTTCGATTATATGATTTCAACAGAACATTGTATACAATTCGTTCTAATAGTTGAAAATTGTTTGTATGATGAGTTATTGAAAAATAATTTGGCAAAATGTTCGTTCATTTTTAAAAGAGTCTTCAGAAATATGAAAACATGGGAGCTTGAGGATGTGGGTATGAATGTCGATTCACGCTCTCAAGATAGCTGCACCTGCGCGTTTCCGTAACATGATATTTAAAAAACAGCAATTGAGAATGAAGCATATTCAAGATATGAAGTTTTCAAAAAAAAATCCATGTTGTTTACACTAGCTATGAAAAAGGATCTATATCTTGAAGGTCTCATATCTCGAAAAGACTTTATTCAAAACTTCTGAATTTTTTCAATAGAAACTGATCTAGTTGAACTGAGATTTTCAGGAATGAATAATTCTAGTGAGCAACACTTCTAGTAAAAAGTTCAGCTTGATACATTAAATTACAACGAACTTTCGACTTATTTATTGTCCATTGGTGACTTTCAAGAGAACTCTTATAACTTCGTCACTATAGGAAGTAGAGAACTCTTCAAAAGAAATATATTGGTTATATCTTAAACCGGGTAGGAAAAGTTTCAATTTTTCTGATTGAAAACCATGATCTAAGAAAAACGATAAATAAGTTTAGATATGGATTGTTTCATTCAAATCCAGGAAAAAAATCATATTCATAGCATATTTAAGTGGAAGTTTTAAAAGCACGTAATAGATGACGTAAGTTAGAACCGTCTGTTGTATTTAAATTATAGAAGAATGTTTATTCAATGCTGATACAAATAAAAAGACGCCGTCTTTCGAAAATTTCTCAGAAAACAGGGTATGAGGATCGAAATTTCTTCCAAAAGTCTGTTAAAATTTGATCTTTTCTCGAAAATTCATGTATATTCTGAGACAGAAAATTTCACTGCACCTTCCTATGATAAAACTTCGAGTTTTTTTTCGAAAAAATGGTTTTTCCGAGGGAAGTCTTAATGGTTATGAACTGATCTTTTCAAAGTCCATAAATTAAGTTTGGACGAGTGTCAAAACTTAACTGAAGTAGAAGCAAAAATTATTTCAAATATAGTGAATGAAAGAGCAAATATTTCTCTATAAAATGGTACACTAATGATGAGTTTCCTGCAAGTCATTTTGTCAACAGTGAGTATTTTGGCAAGATACACCGTAGTAAGATGGTTCTGATTCTGATATCACTTTGTAGAGAACAATCTTGCCTTTAATTCTATGCAAAAAAATTCGCTTATATAACAGAAGAAAATCAAAAATATTTCGAAAGGGAGAGTCAATTGCCGCCAATCTAAATCCATCACCGCTCATAAGTCCTACATCAGAAGTCCTAGAGAAATGATGAACTTTCGGATCATTACTCTTCTTTAATCTCTAGTCTTTAGTAAGTGTATAATATCCTTACCAGCAATCATAAATAGTTCTAAGAGGAAAACAATACAGTTGTGGGTCCACATGGGCCCATGAACATTAACGGTGTTATAGGCATAAATTTTCGTCGTGCTAAATCTATCGTCTGTTGTCTTTCAATTGCTTTTCTAAATAGATTTGTTTGTACATTCATCATTAATATTAATGATTCATATTTTCTTTATATAGTGTGAAATTTTCTAATTGATTTTTTTTGTCAAAATCATATAACATCGTTTTTTTTCGGTTCGTTCGAATCATGTGAATTTATTAAAGACATTAACAAAAATAACAACTTGCCAAACATATAAAGATAAGATCCTGTCTTCGTCAAAGAAAATCAAATAAATCTTTATAAGAGGCCTATAATACATAAATGAATAGCTTAAATAAAACAAAAGTATTGAATTTTTTTGTGGTTTTCTATGGATGAGTTCAAGCGGACCTCAGGAGATCAAAGAAGAGTTTATGTAATATGTTAATCAATTCGAGATTGACCATATTAATTTTTCAATCCGTCATTGGCCTAGACCGAAGTGAGATCTGATGACGAAAGAAGTAATTTTGAGTATGATCTAGATTCAAATGAATTCGGCTAGAAATTAAATCTATAGTACACCTTTCATAAAAAATAAATATATGAAATTCGAATTTATTCGATATATATTAATCAAACAAACAATTATGACAAGTATATGTGTGATATTATTCTTTATTCATTAGATGATTTAATTGATAGATGTAGATGGTTGTAATGGTGGTAAAATTTTCGATGGTTTATTTTGTCGTTTTAATTGTGATAATAATGTCTAATAAAAGAATAAAAAATTTTGTTTTTTATATTTGTTTCATAACTAAATCTTACTTCAGCAATATTAACTCTTTGTGTCCATATATCAATATCATGTTGTAAAATTTTTCTTTGTTCAATAATATGAGCATAATTACTAATTGTTGGTACTTTTACAGTATTATCTATACGATCTTTTAAAATATTATTTTGTTTTAGAATTTTATTATTTTCTTGTTTAATATAATTAATATCAATAATTGTTTGTTCGAAATTATTTTGTAAAATTTCAAATTGTTTTTCTATATCATTAATTTTTATTTCTTGTTCATTTAAATTTTTTTTTAATTCTTTACTATGATTTAATAGTGGATAATAAGATGATTTTTCCAATATATATTTTTTTTTAATTTCTTTAAGTTCTTTCGTACGATTTTTTTTCATTTGAATTACCGATTCAAGATCAACTTCACTTATTGTAGCAACTATATCGTCTACTTGACGTATTCTTAAATCAGTATGTTCTATACGTGAACGTAAAAGTTCTGTATTAACAAGAAAAACACCAATTGAACTTATACGAGCATCGATACGTTTATGAACACGACTAACAAAAAGTTCACCTGGAACTGATAAATATGGACTGTTAAATTTTTCTTCACCAATTAAAGTACGATATCTATCTATACGTCGTTGTAGACCAAGATTCAATGAGTTTTGAGCGTCTTCATCAGATTTTATATTTTGATATAAAACCTATATTGAAAAAAAAAACAAAAAATTCGAATTGAAAATAATTTATATATAGATGAATTTTGTAATACAATAAAACTTCTCCAATATGAGTACTATCAGAAAAAGTTAAAAGTGCTCGTTATTAGAAGGTTCTCAGTTTCCTATTTTTTGCAAATCATAAGTATTCAATGGCAATCACTTCTCAACTGCACAAGATGATCTTTTTCTTCTATACAATAATTTGTTAATTTAACTTTTTTTAATCAGAGATATATCAACTGGTGTTGGTATGATTTCATGTTACCATCTTTTAGCATAAAAACGACGAGATGTTATGTTGTCAGCTTCATAGCTCTGGAAACAAAGAATGCTCTATGTTAGCCAATTCCTCCATATATAATGCTATGTCACAGCTATCTACATTACTAATTGTTGTGGAGAAAAATCATCTACTGCCTTTTGGAGGTCAGTGATTGAGTGATGATTTAATGAAACAAGTTCAAAATTTTTGAGAAGCTTCTTCTACAGTTGTGTATTATTATCTACAAGTTTCAGAAGCGAATTTTGCGCTACAGAGAAATGCAACATAGATTATAATCTTGTTAGTTTCAAGGATCCAGAAATATCAATATTCGAGTAAATGAATTTATTTTTCGAAAGAAGAAAGACCGTAGATGAAACTTCAGCTACATGTAAAAATATCAAGAATTAGTTGTATTTTTAGTAAGAAACAGCGCAAAATTTTGTAGACAATCTTTTTTAGGTTATAATGCTCGGAGCATTAACAAAATGGTTGTCGTCCATCATAATTCTCTTTGTAATGAAGCAATAACGGCGATGCAATACAAATTTTCAGATCTCTAGCACATACAGCAGCCGAGACCAGCTTGGGATGAAGACTTTTGTCGATTACTATATATATATATATGTCCAATGATTGTTTATCATGACATCATTGTTTTCTCGTTCTGCACGTTAGTGATAGAACGTTTGTTACTCACATTACAGAGGTTGTTATTACTCATAGGGTTAGAAATAAGCGTCCACTACTCAGAATAAGAAGGTACTCGTATTTGAGAGGCTTGTTCCTAGCAAAATTTTCTTGAACGGACTATAGACCAGAGATGTGTCCTGAGCGAAGTTCCAACATTTTATTCGTCTTTTTTGTTCACCAATGATCAAAAAAACGCTCAACCCTTCCCTCTGAAATCTCAGCGATTCCAGAACGTCCTTGGACAATAAACTCTTCTTTAATCACTATATTCAATTTATTTGGCTTTGATGAAGATGACAAATCTGATAAAAGGATTTCTAGTCATACTTATAATAAGTCTTTTATCGGTAGTATGAGTTTATACGAACTGTATCATGATGCGAGGAAAGAAGAATCTACTCGTAGCTACGACCAACACTCTCGAAGAAAGTCGAAAAAACTAAAGAAAACTTGTCTGCTGTTAAGTCTTGATGTAGTGTCAATAAACACGTAATGATTTAACTCACACTACTATAGACCGACAAAATGTATCATGCTTTTCTGTTTGTTCCAGAGAAGATCCAAAACTAAACTTCATTGCAATGACGGAAATAGAACAATCCTATCAATTTCAATTTTTTTCGTATTTAATCTCAATAAAAGCTTTTTCTAAATTTTAACCGATTCTATCAAAGCTTTACCATGGTGATATGATAGAAACAATTTATAATATGAAAAATTTAGTTTGTTTATCTTTATCTTGAATTCTAAACTAACCTTTAAATTATCAATTACCGCAAGTTCATGTGCTTTCATACGTTGCCAATCTAAACGTGTTTGTTCAACTTCATATGCAGCAATAAAGAAACGTTCTTGATCGATAGGTGAAATATATTGTATATCGGTAGGTGCAAGTAAATTTATTGATCGTTTAGTCCATAATGGTGTACCATCTCTAGTATAACTAGGACTTTTTTTTACTAAAATTTAAATAAAAATTTATTAAATTAATTAAATTTAATGAAAATATTTACATAAAATTTGTCGAGCACTATCAATTACTTTTGTTTGATCAAGTGTTTCATGAATAATATCAGTTTCATCTTCATATTCACGAAATGTTTCAATTCTTTTTGATGTTGTTATACGTAATAGATAACGTGAAAAAAGTAAATTTTCAAGACGAAGATTTTCATTTTCTTCTCTTGAATTAATCGATAAAAATTTCATTTTATTTAGGTCATAACAAATAGTAATGGCGAAGGTTATTTTGATTAGTTAGAGAAACTTTTGAAGAATGATTAAATATCAAAGAAATATAGAACTTGATCTTTATAATTATATCATATAGAAAGAAAGTTTCTTTAAGGAATTAAACTATCTCTGCCATTAACTTTTGATGTGTCCTAAGTGTAATATTTTTTTCTTACTTACTCAAGTTCATTAATTCTTTCTAGTAATTCTTTATCATTGAATTCATGAGGTTTCTCATGTTTAATTAATGATTTTGATTCTATGGCTAATGTATGTGTCGATTGTTCATCAGTTTTTTCTCTTGGTGAATATCCAAGATCAAAACTAAATTGTCGTAAACTACTATATCGACCTTTTATTGTTAACATTTTTACAAAAAAAAAAAAAAATTTTAATCTAGTTGAATTGAAGTATAAGCTCTATATACATAGAATATTTATTATACTGATAAAAATAGAGGTGATATCAACATACACTTTTGTTTAAAATATGATAAGGAATGAATAAATTTCAAGACAGATTACGTTTTATTCTATCATTACAAGATTCTATTATTTTTTTAAAAATACTTTCAATGATATTTAACGAATGACGCATAAAGAATGATCCTCTAAGTATTTTTTTTGTATATCTCTCTCCATTGTTGATGCTTTGACTTGAATTGTTTTTTCAAAAGTATAGTTGCAAATCCATGTCTGATCTGCAATACTATACTGTAAAAAGGCTCATTTTCAAAGCAACTTTACTTTTCCACAAAACTTATTATTTTTCTTCTTCAAACTAAAACGATTTAATTTTGTTCAGAAAACAGGTTACACCCTCTGATTACTCTCCTTGTAATCGCATCATTTTTTTTTACAGAGAAGATTTGCAGTAGCTCGCTCAAGTCTAGATTGTAGAAAAATACTTTCCAATAAATCTCAATTTGTATTAATTGAGTATTTGACT